GGAACCAGAAAGCATTTCCCAAACCTTCCAGAAAACAATTGTTGTTCTCCTTTTTTCCAAGAGTTTCTGCATTTCTAATTCCAATTTCAATTTCCATTTCTGAACTTCCTTTGAAGTCTATTAAAGTGTCTGCTACCAGTCGCTGAAGCGAGGGATCCCGCATCCGACCAAGTTTTAGACCAGTCGCCGGCCGGCCGTGAGCGCGGTGGGAATAGGCTTCCCAAAAAGCCAGCCTCGATTCCAAGAGTTCCTCCACAAGCTATTTCCCATTTCAATTCCAATTTCTCTGAAGTTCCAATTGAAGGTTCTCCTCGATTTCATTCTCATTTCTGATTGCATGTTAAATTAAATGCAGTTTTTTTGACTGGTGGCAGTCAGTCTAGGCTCGGTGTTGCTCTCTGGTAATTTTACTGGGCTCCGGTGACGGCGTGGACATCGTCCAGCAACCTCTGTAACTTCGATATCCCTCTCTCTTTCGGTAATCATTCTGAGAACTTAGAATTGCATTACTTAGGTCTCTTATCAATTTTGCAATAACTCAAATTTATTTTCAACTACCTTTAGTTTTTTCTTTCTATTTTTTCTGTTGAATTCGAATTGAAGTGTTTAGGAGAATGAGTGGTAATATGTAATTTTGCTTAGCTTGCGTTATTTTGCTTCTTTTTTATTCTTTTAGTAGCTAGTCTTTTGGCTACTGAGAAAATGAAGGATTATTTTTTATTGTGCTATTTTTTGCTTGTTTTTGAGAATGAATGTCTATATTGTAGTCTGATTGGTGAGATTTTAATGGTTAGAATTTCAATTTTTATTATAAAGGAAAAATGAATGTCTACTTTGTAGTCTAATTGAATTTTTTTGCTATTGTTCTGTGTAAAAAAGTGCTTTAAATTTCTGTTATTAAGATTAGATAGTGTTTTAGCCATGATTTGAAATGAGAGGTAAATGGGCAAAGGCATTCTTTTAGTAGTCATAATATTATTGTATGGTTTTATAGAACTTCCTTTTAATTGTATGGTTTGTTTGATTACTCAAGTGTTGATAATAATCTTAAATTTTATAGAAAAAGGAAGAAAAATGCAAAAAGCGTTGAGCAATGCAGAAGATTACACATACAACTGGTAGTAAGAGCTTTGCTATACTACGAGATGAAATGGTAAAATCTAATTTCAAATTTTTAATGTTCTTAAGAGCATAAAAAGACTATGTATATGAAATTTTGTTCTTATGTAGGAAGAAAAAAATGGTGGTGAGCTTGTGGGAGAAATAGATTTTTATATGGCTACTCATTTGAACAAAGATGGCAAATATGTTGATGAAGAAGCAGAAAGTACAGTGGTACATTTTATATTGCAACTCACTTGAATAAAGATGGCTAATATGTTGATAGATTAGTTTGTGCCCTATAATCTCTTTAATGCTTTATTATTTGCTTGTATAGAAAAAGGCCAAAGAAATGCACACAGAGGGGTTAGCAACTAGCTCATTAGATGCAATATCCCTACAATAGGCAGTTATGTCTGAAGTGAGAGGTAAGGAGGCTTATGGTTGTGTTCGTGGCTTAGGTTTAGGGCCTACACCAACAAAGGTCTTTGGTGCTCATACATTTGCCTCTACAGCTGCTCAAAATCAAGAAGTTATTGAGTTGAAGGGTCAGGTGATTGAACTTAGAGAACAAGTGGCTTCTCTAGCTGCTCTAATTAGGCAGTTGACTGCAAATATGAACCCTTAAACTTACCAGGTTTGTTCTTACCATTCCTATGATTTATCTGTTAACACTTGTTTGGTGCTTGTTTAGTGTTTAACGGAAAAGAATATACTTTTTGTAAATTCTGACTCTGGTGGTCTTTATCTGCTATTGTCTTTTAATTTTCATTGCACAATAAAATAAATTTTGATTAGTATAAGTTTCTAAATTTTGGTGGGTGAAGATTCTATTTCTATGTTGCTTTGCTTTTTGGTTTGATTATAATAGTAGTTTAGTTATTGTCTAAATTGCAAGCTCATCAATTATGTTTCCACTAGTAATCCAGATCCTTGTTTAACTGAAGAAGTCAGTACCGAATTCTTAAATTGTGATAGGCGTTGTTTTATGGGTTCAGTTGCAATTCTGAACACATTGAGAAAGACAAGGCCAAAGCTAATCTTGCTTGTGCCAAAATGTATCTTGTTTGCATTTTAGGGTCAACAAGGAGTGCCAACCTTTCCAGATACATCTTACAGTAATGATGCTACTGGTGGCAGCAATGTAAAGCATTTGTCTATGAAAATTTCAAGACTGCAGTGACTTTAAAGTGTTAGTAGCAAAAAAGTCATTTTCTAGTTATTTTGTGTTTGAATATGGCAACTCAAGGTTTAGATACTCTTAGACATGGTTGTATGCTATTTGGATATCATTTTCTATCATTTTTTGGGGATAGCATTGGTGTATTCTGTTTTTAAGTGGTGTATTTTATTTTTAGGACTTAAACATTTGGATATTATTGTTATATTTTCTCTAGATATGAAAATATTAAGCATTCAATGATATGTCAATTTTGTGTAGATTTTTGATTAATTGATGTTATATTTGGTTTGATTAATTGTGCTTAATCTTAAATGGTTTTGTCAACAAATAGGTAGTGTTTTGGTGACAAAAAATA